TTTTGTCAATGATGGAAACGTTCTACATGTGCACTGTCCCACAGATGTCTTCTAGCCACAAGGGGCATCTGAGCATTTGAAATGTGGTTAAAGTACAGAACAACTGAATTTTTAATGTTATTTAATTTTAATTAACCCAAATCTAAATTGCTACATGTGACTTGTGGCTGTCATATTAGACACTGCAACTTCAGATTATAAATGACTCTTAGAAGTGGTTGGCATGAAGTTATTCTCAAGCAACAATTTCTAAATGAACTTAAAAAATCCAGCTCCTATTTAAACCTGAGGTTTGGACCCTGGACCCACAGTGACTCCACACAGACACTCTGTGGTTCAGCCTGAAACACCACCACATCTTACCACATCTTCCCTGCAACAGTGTTCACCTCTATATTCTACTCAACAACATTCCCATACCTATCTGTGTCACACAGACCCAAAGCATTTTTCATCTAATCGTTCCTTTCTCTTTGCCTCCTCTTAATCAAAATGACAGAAACTGAAGCACATTCCAAAGGCATCAAGCAGAGCTGCTAAAATGAATAGCAGACAGTGGAGAAGCATGTTTTTGCACTAACCTTTCATGTCTAAAGACATGGATTCAAATATAAATCAAACACTAAAGCTTGGTAGTCACATCCAAAATCCCAGGTGGATATGCACTCTAGTCATAAAACTCTGACAATATGACAGGCTGAAAAACAGAGCAGATGGGAACAATGGGTAAATTTGTTCAAGTAAGGCCCACAACCACTAAAAGCCTGGGTCATGGACAATGAAAGTTTAATAAATGCTCCAGAAGTCTGGTCTTTTATTATTTTCACAAATGAATTCAAATGGAAAGACACCGTATTACTAAAAAGTAATTAGGGAAACTCAGAAATGGGAAAAAGAAGAAAATGGGGCAGGGGGTGGGGGGATGATAGTTTATTTAAATATATTCATTTCTTTCTGTTCCCTACTAGAAGTCTAAGAAATTCAAGTTACAAAAAATAAGAATTAAATTAAGGAAAGTGGTTTTACTTCCTTTTTTCATACTCATTTTTCCTTAAAGCAAAATTAGGCATGTTCACAAAATCATGTAAAATCATGAGAAAGGTTATTCCACTAAACTCATTCTGAAAGGACTGGACTTTTAAAAATTGTCAAACTTGAAAAGCAGGTTTTTAAACTTCAGCTATTCATATTGTAGTCGGAATTCAACTGTAATAGGTGAGCAATAAATCAGAAGTGGGTTAAGTCTGGCTTGTAGTGGAAGTTCTTTGCTCAATAATTATCTAACACTGTCTTTTCACAGGCCATTAAATAGTTAATCTTCATTTCACAGTCCTGTTGTCCATTATCCCTAGATAACCAAGACTGAAGTAGTTCTATAAGTGACTAAACTTTCTTATACTGCAGTTTGAAGACTGTTACTATGCTACTTATTTAGGCTCATGGATACCATGCATTGTAAAAATGTTTTGCTATTATTAAGATTTATGTATATCTTTTTAGTCTTAAGTAAACTGTCTTCTCAAAAATTAGAAACGATCATGGTAAATTCACTGGATGGAAAATAAAAGTGCAACAAGAAATAAACCATTATTTAACCCTCATATATTTGAATATTAATTTCTTTTCTTAAAATGGTAGCGTGAGAAATACAGACATCACATCTACCATCTCTGTTCCTTCTGTATGAAAATGGAAACAGGGAGCATACAAATACTTTCCCATGTTTAAAAGTTTATTATACCTAACACAATTTCAAAATGTTTTGAGAAAGAGAGTGACAATCTAACCGAACAATTTTTTAAAATGTGTAATCAGAAAAAGAGAGAGTGAAAGACAGCAGGCACTATTGTGGCACAACTCTAAGAACAAATTAAGTATCTAAGCATAATTTTAAGAATGTTAAGTATAATAACAATAAATTTAGTCAAAATAATTTTAAGTTAAGGATATAATTTTAAGAATGTTAAGTACCAAAGTATACTCCCTCTGGTAAGTTAGTAAATAAACTAAATTAATTTACTTTACTTACTCTCTTACTCCCTAGTAAGAGAGTAAATTAAGATCATAGAAGTATCAAAATATATTTTCTCAAGTATAAGGCAAGACCATGTTTTAGGTGAGGAAGAGTTGTTTTTCAGGAAGTCTGTCTAAAAATTTAAGAAGCAAGCACTAACCAAACAACAAAATTAAGAGCAAAGCCCCATTATTCACATTAGGCAAGCCCTATGTAACACTTTACCCTAGGCATACATATTGCAGAAAAAAAGGAATGACCTGAAAATAATACATTCAAAGTTGCAAATTAATAACCACGATTTTATTCTCTAACATAATTACTATGAAACCCAGGTAGATAATCTCATTATTTCCTATATCAGTACTTTTAGAATCAATTAAATATAAAGAGCTACATGAGACCATAAAAGTCATTCGTCCATTCTAAATATCTGATTTTGCAAACTTAAAAATTATTTTCCCCAAGTTAGTAGAATGGCCAAAACGCTGACTCACAGTACACTGCTCTTCCCACTATAATGTGTTTCCAAGTGCCCAACCTTCCAATTTTGTCAAATCTTAAGACATCATTTTTAAAACATATTTCTCTTCAAAAGCAGCTGGGGTAGATAACAGTTCTGAAACCTCAAAAACCACAAGCAACTGCTATATCAAGAAGTAGGGACTATCGAGTTAGCCCAATACGTCAAGAAATAAAAAGAGCTTCCTTCAAAGAGCAAGCAATTCTTTAACAATGCTACAAACAGGACGCCTTTTTCCCCTTTAAAAAAGTAATTACTCATTTTGATGGTTTCTGTTTAGTCTTTGGGGAACACAAGTTAATACTAATGCAAGCTGTCACAGCACAGCAAGCTCAGATGTCTCCACTCCATTCAGAAGTTAAAAGTACAGTTCTATTAGGGATGAAAGGATGTGGAAAGAGCTAGGCTCCAATTATTATCAGGAGGACTGTAAGCTGCTCACTCTCATTAACTTTTATTCCCATTTTACAAACCAATAAAAACTTACCTGAAAACTGCTAACCATTCTGAACAACACAAACAGCACATAAATTTTAATAACTACCTCTTGAAAAAGCAGAATCCACTTGGAATACTCTAATATAAAGAATTTAGACTGGTGATGATTGTTACTAATTAACAAAAACATTAAGAAGACTTCCTTCCTACACCTCACTGAGCTCTGCACATGCTTAGTCATCATTTTTAGAGTTGCTAATGTGCACAAATAACTAAAGAAAAATATGAACAAGTATTAAGGGTTACTGTTTCAATCATTAAAAAGGTGATCATTATTAAGTCACATCTTTTTTCTATAAAATTCAAAAGATTAAAATGAGAAATCTATACTATTAACGTTGTGCTACATTAAAAAACCAGAAGTCCAACTGGGACTAATTCCAATGATTATACTCCATACATGGAAGCCTGAAAAATGTCAGTTGCTACAAAAATTATTTTTTAAACCTTCCATCAAAAATAATTAGAGAAAAAAATTAGAAACCTGTGAACAGAAGCCTAAATAATGTGTTTAACAGAGAAACAATGTAGTTACATTGTGCAACTATAAAGCTATATATTTCTTGACTCTGGCCATTCCCCCTCAGACTTAGAATTTCACCTACAATATGAATCATAATGGCTACTCTTAAAAGACAATTTGAGAGCTTTTTTAAAATATTTTTTTATTCTTTTTAAATTCAACCTTTTTCATATTATAGTGATCCATAGGCTATAAATGAATTGATTCTAATAACATTTATATTAACTATTCAAGGTTTGTAAAAGGGACAGAGAGTAGCTCAAATGAAAGATCATCACTAAGATAAAGTCTTAAAGGCAGACATACGAAAAGCTTGAGACCTTTCCTACATCCCATGTTAGAATGCATACAAAATCTCAGAATGAGTGGAAGAAACGAATATTAAATTTTAGTTAATTATGGATGGGAGAAGTAGACAATAGTATATTGGTCAATACAGTTATCAGGTTGCTACGACATCATTCTTCCTTAAAAGAGCAATACAAAAAGACAAATTGAACTTGACAAAAATTCTATGTTGAAGCACAAAGCCTAGCCAACTCAAGTACTTATTCTTGAAGATTTTTTCTATACGTGAGTAAAGGCAACAAGCTGTTAAAAGCTTAGCATCGAAACTTCCTCCAGACATTAAAGAAGCACTCTTACTAATAAGACTGCAAAAGAAAAGTACATGTTATAATTACAAGAAAATGTCCTAACCAGATACCTGCAAAAGGATCCTTAAACAGTATCTAACACACTGCTTTGTGAAAGGAGGTTCACAAAATAAATGACAGTGTTGCAATTTATGCACAGAATAGAGTTTAGTTTTTATATTTCTGAGTGAAAACACTTGATTAAAACAACTTTGAAAGAAAAAGGTAATAACTTCATCCGCGTACAAAGAAACTTTATACCAGTTAATTGTATAAGTCATCTTCACTTCCAGATGGCATAAGCTTCTCTAGCATGTTACACTTACAACTTTAAGGCTATGTCACCAGAAAAAGTGGGTGGTCATCTTGAAAATGTCACCAACACTCCACATTTTCAAACCTGACAGATTTCTGGACACGTATTGTATGATTCCATTTATATGAAATTTTCAGAACAGGCAAACCCATAGAGATAGTAAGTAGATTAGTAGTTGCCTGGAACTAACTGCAGCGAGGAGGAAATGGGAGTGACTGTTAATGGTGCACGGTTTCTTTCAGGGGTGATGAAAATATACTAAAATTATATAGTGGTGATGATTACACAAGTCTGTAAATTTACTAAACCATCAGACTGTATGCTTTCCAAGGGTGAATTTTATGGTAAGTGAATTATATTTCAGTAAAACAATTATTTAAACGTTAGATTTAGATTTTTAAAAAATCTGACAGAATTCATAATGTCAAGGTATATATACTACAATAGACATCAGTCAGAGCTTTGCACCTGTTCCAAATGACTTTTTTTACCTTGGCAAGGCGGCTCATCTGATCTTCTGAGAGAGTGCTACTTGTTCTGCCAGGAGTTTTTGTGGGTTCTGATCCATCGGCTTCTACATTAGGCCAGACTTTCAAGTCATGCATCCCTTGGCGAAACATGCTAGGGAAAAAGACGATGTTCAGGGTAGAAGCAAATTAATACAGTTCATTACAGGAAATTATAGATTCCTAAAAATAAACAGAATTCTACACATGGAAATGTATATCTCCACTGCCAAGCTTTAAGCCCCCAGTGGAATGTAAAGCAATTAACCAAGCAACTAAAATCCATGTCACACTGCTTTGTACATGCCATTCTCTACTCCTCCAAGCAGTCAGAACTATGACAGAGAATTCTACACATAGAGTGGAAGAAGAGAAGGATGAGAAATGAGCACACACATTTCATCACTTTGGTGAAGATCTAAGGAATAACAGAGATCAAACTTCTAACCAATTGAAGAATGTCACATTTACAACGAGTAAAATCAAAATTTAAATAATTACATAACTGTTTTCTTTAAATGATATTACAGTAGACTATATAGTCAAACTGCCTGTACTTGAATCACAGCTGTGCTATTACCCACATAACCCTAGGGTAAACTACTGAAGCCTCCCTGTACCTCAGTTTCCTCTTTTATAAAATAGGATAAAAGGACTTGTATCCCACAAGGTTACTGGAAAAATTAAATAAATCAGTACAAGTAAAAAGTCATTAGAACAGTGACTGGCCTACGGTAAGTATTCAATAAATGTTAGCTATTACTAGTCTTTTTGCTGTACAAATTGATTTTTCTCCTTTCTTTTCCATAAAAGGCATGTTCTAAAAGTGAATACAATAGTAGACTCACACAAAAACATTTCCCATGTCTATAAATCAAAATTTAGCATATGGCCAGAATTCAGCCTAAGTGTGGTTATCCCGCTTCAAAGTGAAAGAATATATAACCTTTGTCCTGTTTTTGTCAAAAAGCTACCAAGAAGATATAAAGATGAAACAAACTCGTAAGAGCTTTAGACAACTATGCGTTTTAATTATGCTGCTGTCAAGTTTCCATGTTTCCTTCTGATGGGGAGGTTAAAGATGTTCTTCTGTTAATGTGTTTTCTTTTTTAAAAAAATTTTTGAACAAGAATTTTCAAACATAAAGTCTACTCAAACAGCATCTACTCAAAGCTCAATAAGTTATTTCTTACTCTTAGAAATAAAAAGACTATAGAAATTGCAACAGAAAGAAAAAAACTCTAAGTGTGTGTAGATGAACAGGCACATCTAAAGCATTTCATACACTTTCACATTTAATACTTTTTTAAAAAAACAAGGTACAGGCTGGGCACGGCGGCTCACACCTGTAATTTCAGCACTTTAAGAGGCTGAGGCAGGCAGACCACTTGAGCTCAGGAGTTTGAGACCAGCCTGGGCAACATGGCGAAACCCCGTCTCTCTAAAAAAAAAACTAAAAAAAAAAAAAAAAAAAAAAAAACTAAAATTAGCTGGGTGCAGTGGTACATGCCTGTAGTAGTTTTTAGGGGGCTGAGGCAGGAGAATTGCTTGGGCCTGGGAGGACGAGGCTATAGTGAACCATGTTTGCACCACTGTACTCCTGACTGGGTGAGAAAGTGACACCCTGTATCAAAATTTAAAAAAAATAAAATAAATTGTCTCCTTAACTGCTAATGATTTACATAAATTTTTTCAAATCATTATTATAATGTTCTGGCTAATAAAAAATTTCTTCATAGATTTTCCTAAGGTAATAAAGATTTTCACTAAACATTATATAATGTGTATAAGTAATGATGCCATAAACATTTAGATTGGGAACTATAAAAGATAGTTACAAACTCATGAGCACAATAAGATCAAAGACCGTATCTGTTAAAAGGTCTCTAAAGTTGGCAATAAACCAGGTAATTCTAGTAACTGTATTTGCAAAAGCTTACCTTATGGGCCCATACAAAATGCATCAACTGGCTGTGATGAATCAAAATTCTCAATATTTATTCATCATGTTAAACATCAAAAGAAAGTTACAGTACAAAAAACACACATATACATGCCTCTTATAAAGTTAATTTTCTTTCTCTTTCAACTGAGATACAGATTCAACGTTAAGCAGTCCTGCTTAGAGCAGTCTCTAAGGAACTATGTACAGTGAGATAATATCACTTTAAATAAATATCCTTAAATGTACCTTCAGAAATAGCAGAAGGCTTCCCTTCCTTCTCTCTACCTTCCCAATCCCCAGTGAATAGTTTGGCTGGCTGAACTTAACTAAATCAAAAATAAGCACATTTGGCAAGAAGTCAGTTTACTAAATGATTTAGGTGCCTTGGGATGGAGCTAGAGAAGAGATTTAAGGATAGGGGACGTGGAGGGTATGGGTGATGCCAAGTGACTCAAATGAGCAAGTGAACATATTACTTTCTTTTGACACTAATGGAACTTTGCAGAGAGTTACACAGCCTCCAGGTGGCAAGGCAGAAGATGCTCAGAGCATCGTGTCCACTTGGGAAATTAAGCCAAACAGGCAAGACAGAAGAAACAGCACAGCAGGATCTCCTTCTGACTCCAGCAGAGGCCCCAGCAACAGCTGCTGTTGATATTCCAGCTTGCAGTGCCAAGCCACTACAGCACCAACTGCCTTGACTTCCAGGATTCACATTTAGAAAAAACAACTGCAAGAGAAATCCGCAGCTTGCATGTGGTTCTTTGCCAGTTCAACCTAACAATCAATCCATTCTTAAGCTACTCTGAAATTTCACAAGCTAGGCTTTCAAATTAAGGATGATACATTATTCTAGCCTTATCCCTAACAAATCAGTCTTTCAATTATTTATTAGACTATTCTCCAAGAAGTTCTGCCTCACACTGACTCACGTAAACAAAACAGATATTAGCAAACAGCAAGAGCTGATAGTCACAAGATTACCAATACTACAATACTAGATGTCTTGAGGATCAATTTAACAGTATTAAGTACACATGAGAACCCTTTAGGGGAAAAGGCGAGGGACAGCTGGCGTTATTTCACTGCATAAGAAACATCTAAGGAAACTATGGTTTAAGGCAGTATTTCCCTAAGTTACGAGAATGGTAGTGGCACATGGCATGGTTTTTGAGGACAGGTGGAAGAAAATCTGCACGTGCTTCCTGCTGAGACCACCCAGAATATTCATATTGCCCTGTCTCCCTGGATGGCAGCACCATGCAGGGAAGTAGCTGTGAGCCAGCAGCACAAGGAGATGTCTGCACTCTGCTGTAGCACCAGGAACATCCTGAACATCATCTTTCACAAATCAAAGCTGCACAAGAAGACCTGTAGCTGCTGAGGACTAGGGAATGCCTGGCTTTTCTTCAATGCAAAGCAGCTCACCCGCAGGGCAAGGCTGCAGGACAGAGAGGAAAAAAAACAAAAAGTTGTTTTAATTTCATAGAGTTTCTTAGAATTCCTTCTTCTGAGGTGAAGGTCAGTACACGCGCCAGCACAGGGGGAATACAAGTTGGTGATTTAGTCTTTTTTCACTCCACCCCCTCAAAATATCTTAGACCTGTATTAAAATCTTATGTTATGTTAGTTATGTTTGGATAACTGCCTACAACTATATAGGAGTTGAACTGATTAAAAATGAAAATGACGTAAAGCCTGATCTTCACCTTAAGCTGAGAGTGAGCTGAATATCCCGTGTATATCTGACTATGGAAAACAGAACCATTCTAATTAAAGGACTTTTTCTGCAGATATTGTATGCATATTTTGCAAATCAAATGAATTTCACATCATGTGTATTCACTAGAGATTCTTTTGCTTCAATTTCTAAAATTTAATAGCATAGTTATTGTCATTATATTTAGTCTTACTATTACCCACTAATGTTAAATAATACCTGTTTTCCATGCACAACAGGGATATCATGTTTTTCTTTTAAAATAAGTGGAAGTTTAAAAAAAGTAAGTTGGGTTAAATAAAAATATCAAGTCAAGAACAACAGGCCAGGTGCGGTGGCTCACGCTTGTAATTCCAGCACTTTGGGAGGGCGAGGCAGGCAGATCACCTGAGGTCAGGAGTTTAAGACCAGCCTGGCCAACACGGTGAAACCCTACCTCTACCAAAAATACAAAAATGAGCTGGGCGTGGTGGCAGGTGCCTGTAATCCCAGCTGCTCAGGAGGCTGAAGAAGAAGAATCGCTTGAACCCAGGAGGCGGAGATTGCAGTGAGCTGAGATTGTACCACAGCAGGGCAACAGAGTGAGAATCCATCTCAAAAAAAAAAAAAAAAAAAAGGATAATATACTTAGTAAAGAGATATGAATGGAATTCTAAAAGTGATAAGTAAATGACTCAAGTTGGAGAAATCAAGCTCTAAGTGAGATAATTTCACGCAATCAGTGCTTCTCTCTAACAGGTTTCATTCATATCGGGCATCTGATGTGTTCGCGACATGGAGGAGGATGACCTATTTTCCAGTTAGAGTTAAGAGAAAACAGATGACTTTCCAAGATTCAAAGTCTTATTTTAGTTAATGGCAGAAAACAAATTTAAGTAACCACTCACTTATTGCTACTGCTCCCTTTATAGAAATCCTTGGGGTTTAATGACTTTTTTAAAGTAGAACAAGTGCTACTGATTTATCTTTTAAGCACGCTGGCAGCTTGGTTTGGATGGGAGGTAAAGGAATTTTCCTTTCACTGGGATATACACAGAATTACAAATAAAGTGGGCTCCAAGGGAAGGAGTAAAGAAGAGGAACACATGAATGTATGTATAAGTTTTATTAATAAACTACTATCACAAAGGTCAGTTCAGTGCTTCTCAAAATGTGGTCCATAGGCTCCCTTTCACAGAATCACTCAGGAAGATTGTTTAAAACGCTGATTCTTGGGCCCTACCACAGACACACTGAGTTAGTGAGAACCCAGGAAGATGCTTTTCTCATAGGCTTCCCGGATGATTCTTAAACACAGGTTGATTACTACTGATTTAGTGTAGTACCTTAAAAAAAAGTGCCAGAAGCCAAACAAAACAGTACCAAAAATCAATCTGAGAGTTTGTTTAGATGTAGGCAGTCATTTCACTGCATCTGTGGACATTTCAATTGTCCCACAACTACATCCTACTCAGAAAATCCCCTGAAACTAGATCCTAAAGTCCTCTAAAATGCACGAGTACTAACAGAGGTGTTTTTATGAGAGAACTTCCTATTGATATTCCAGAAGGTAAACCACTTGTGATGAATCTGGGAGGAAAAACTAAGAGGAACATCTGGTTATTTCTCAAAAACATTTAACCACTAAAAAGAGCTGTACATTTTTCTTTTTCTTCTCTGTTGCAAACAAGTCCCTCCCTAGTAACAAAAAATAAGGGCTAAATACTCTGTAAAAGAAACAATACTGATTTAGTAATATGTCCATTCTGCTGTAACATGTATTTTATCAAGAAGTACATTTTAAAACTGAAAGTTACAATGTTTCAGACTATATCAAAATTATTTTTCCTGTACGGATTTTAATAACAAATATCTCTTTAATAGCCACATTAAACTAAAATACCTAGGTATTAGTAAGCAACCAAGCTATTCCAAATGGGATTACATCTAGATTTCATTGATGAGCTCAGAAGCCTTTCCAACACACTCTATTCCTGGATAGAAAAGTTTAATATTATAAAGGCATCAATTCTCTCTTTAATTAACATATATAATTCAGTAAGATTTTCTAACAAAATAACAGTGAATTTAATTGAGAAAATAATATTAAAATTTATCTGCCAAAACAAACCTGGAAATATTTTAAAAGAAAGACTAATAAGAATTATCCCTATCTAATATTTAAACATTTTATAATACTATCCTAACTGACAGAATAGCCCAGGAATGATACCTAATATTTATTGAGGTCATTATAATATTTATTCAATACATAAATATATGATATAATATTTATCAGGACCATTAAATGTATTTAGTAATGTAACAATCATAAACTACTCAATGAGGGAGACACTATTGTTCTTTCATTTAACATACTAAGACATTGAGGCATAAAATTAAGTAATTTGCCCAAGGATACACAGATACTAAGCAAAGAAGCCAAGATTTGAAGGCAGATAATCTTCAACGTGCTTTCCTAACCACTATAGCAGTATACACTAAAATGCCTCTCTTAGACTTCAACACAAGATGAATTGAGTATATTAGGATGCTATTTTAAAATAGCTGGATAAGATGGCTTATTTAATAAGCAGTGTAGGGACAAATATTCAAACCATTTGTTTTGGTTTTCTCTAAAAGGCTATTCTCACTGTATCACTCCTTTCACAATAGTAATTTTAGATAAATCAAAGATTTTAATGTAAAGGAATAAAAGCATAACAGGAGAAAGTATTTTAAAGAATCTTAAATGGGAACTTTCTAAAACATTAAATTCACAACCCACAAACTAAAAACTGATAGCTTCAAGATAACAATTTAAAATCCATGAAGAGCAAACAAATACATACTAAGTCAAAAGAACAAGCCAAACCAGAAAAGCAGCATTTGTAACATAACCCACAACAGGCTAATTTCATTCATCTACAAAGACTCCTTATATATCAATAAGAAAACGACAACTCAAAAAAAAAAAAAAAAAAAGCAAAGAATTTTATGGTATGTGAATTATATCTCAATTTCTAAAAAGGACAAAGTACATTGAAAAGCAATTCATGGAAACATAAACACAAATAGTCAATAAACACTCCAAAATATGATCCTCCTCATCCTTAATGATGTAAAAATTAAATAACATTTTTTAACTTTAAAGTAGACAAAAATTAAGACATTTGTAATATCCAGACAGATTAAGATCTATACCATTTCACACTGAAAGGAACCAGAACTTCTTTCAGAGATTCCAGGTCTGGAGCAGAAAATTACCAAATGATCCTGGAAAAACTTGTCTACCACAAAGCAAAGAAGCTACCAATCACTACTAGTGTACTGTCCAAAGGACATGGGGTCTACTTGAAGGAGCTCCTACTGACCAAAAATGGGATTTTTTGAGCATTATAAAGACAGCAATGGACCAAAACATATAAAAAACAGAATGCACAAAAGCCATCAATCACCACCTTTACAAGTTACTAGGGCACAAACTCATTAGTCTTGAAATTGATAAAGGGAAAGAAAATTAAACATTTATCTGTCTTTCCTATATGAACTAACTAAATACTTGATGAAGGACCAAGTTCTTTAGTGAAGAATTCCAATTAGTAAATGCAGAATAATAATAGAATGTCACAAATTCTCTAAAGATAGACTGAGTCCTCTGTCCCTGGAGAAAAAGGATATAGCGAAAATATCCTTTGGAACTGTGGGATTTTTTTTTTTTTTTCACAATAAACATTTAGTATTTGTACATGTTTCAAAAACTGAATTATCTTTTCTATCACAATCATTACCATCATTAGCAAATGAATGCTTTTTAAACCTGTTTTTCATTCTTTCTGTCAATATTATAAAAAAGCAGATGAACCCTATAACAAAGCAGTTATAGTATACGTCAAAGTCACTTTTCCCTAAAAGCAAGGTTCTATTTCCCAATGACTTCTATTTTCTAGCAGAAATCACACTACCAATCACCAACAGTAGAGCAATATAAATTGATTTCTTTATCTATCTGTATATCCTATAGGAAATACATGCTAAATTCAGTAAAAGGAATGTTCAAATCATATGTACCTAACTGGTTTACACTGGAGCCTGGGCATAAACTATTAAAGCCTTCCCTCATTCTGAAAAAGAAAAGGGTCAGAAAGCAGCTACACTCCTACAGATGAGACCAACAGAATGCTTACCCGTATTTTCCAAAGAGCGAAACTGTTGTTCCTCCTACAGGCACTGCTTTTCCAGGTCCATACACATCCCATATGGTGAGTGCCACTTGGGCATTCCTGGGCAGGTCAGGGTATTTTACTGGTAGTTTCAGCCATTCGTTCCAGCTATGGAAATAAAGTTAACATAAATCAGAAATATATAGATGCGTGTGTGTGTATATATATGTGTGTATATATGTACACAGATGAATAAGCGTGTGTGTGTATATATGTAGATATATAAACCCTCTATATATTTATGTAAATTTTCTTATACATTTAAACTTCACACTGTATTTGATAATTTCAACCCTCTTCAAGAGAAGCTGGCTTTTAAATTCCAAAAGAATACTGTGCCAACATTATACAAACTATTCCCCAGCAGACACATAGAATTCTATTTCTGTTTACTCAAAATTATTCTATTCATTCAAAGTTATTATCTAAGGGACATATCCTAGTCTATGTTAAATACATCTGTACTGATAAAACATTTAACAAAATTTCCAAAAACTTAAACAACAAATCATTTATATACGCCATATAAATTAGGGATGGCTATCAATTTCAAGAAAAAGAGTTATTAAATCCTTTTCTTCTACGAAATACTTTTTTAAAAAAATCGCATGCTTAAGAAAGCCAGTATCTACTACAGATAGGCTCAAACAACTAAATGAAATTATTTAATTACTAGCCACACGGTAGGGCAGGCTAAAAAGAAAAACACTAAGCAGTGCCATCTTTTGCCAATGAATAAACCACACACCAGCTAAAGTTAAAGACGACAATAAGCAATTTCTTTTTGGAAAATATTGTGAAATTTCTTATTCTGTATTCTGTCCTTTAATGACAATGAGACAATACAAATGACCAACTAATCATTTGTCTCAAACCTTTTGCTATCCAACACCAGGCAACAACACCTTTCAATCAAAGCAACTGCACTTAATCTGTTTTATATACTAGGCTTCCGCAGAAGAGTTCTTTTGAAAAAAAATGATGCTATTTTGGAAGGCCGAGGCGGGCAGATCACTTGAAGTCAGGAGTTCGAGACCAGCTTGGCCAACATGGTGAAACCCCGTCTCTACTAGAAATACAAAAAAAAATTAGCCAGGCGTGTTGGCGCGCCTGTAGTCCCAGCTACTTGGGAGGCTGAGGCAGGAGAATCGCTTGAATCCAGGGGGCAGAGATTGCTGTGAGCCAAGATCATGCCACTGCACTCCCGCCTGGCGACAGAGCGAGACTCCATCTCAAAAAAAAAAAAAAAATCCTTCAGCTAAAAACTTTGAAAACTGCTCCAGAAATTCTAGAAGTTATAGAAAAATCTAGTCATGACACCAAAAAGGTATATATTTTGGACACCACTTTGTTTTCTTCCTCTTCATGCATCATCCCTATCCCATCTTCTAACCCTCATTAACCTTAAGATTACATTCACCTGGCAACAATCAAAACATCACAAGATGGCAAAACCTAAATCTGGATGGTCCAATCCCCACCAAGTACCCCCATCACCGCATACCACTGTGCTAGCACTCGAATCTGATTAAAATACTTCTGTATCCTAACTTTGTAATTTTTGAATTAGATTGTATTAATATGTCTCTCTAAAGCCATTTTCAAAACCTTTATGAGACAATGTGAAATATAAGTGTTCTTAAAAATGTAAACTACTTCCCTGAAGAATAATAGTCACATAAGAAAAAACTTACAAATTTTTAGTACATACACCTAAAGATGAGAATTTACCTTAAGTGTAATTAAAGAAAGTACAAGTGTCCCCCATGGGATCTCTTAGTGTAGGACAAAACAGGACATGATATGATAGACTTGAATAAATTTTGAATGAGTTCCTCATTATTAGAACTCTCACAACTCACTATCAGAAAGTCAGAAATCAAACAGATTTAAATAATTTGGAATCTCATACCGGCCCTAAAACACAATCTGAACTAAGGAATGCAAAAATTTGGACAGCAAGAGATCCTTTTATGATCTAATTTATTCTTTCCAAGGTTTATACAGTATCTCTTTTAAGCAAATACTTACAAAGAATAAGGACTATTTAAAGTTTTTACCTCCATTCATTTTAGGATGGCAATTTTTGTTCTGATGAACTACCAATAAATTCAACTTTTGAACACTAAAGAGCAGGATGTATAAAATGTGCAAATGTTTTCTCTTAGTCTCCTAAAGACTATTTTTTTTTTTTTTTTTTACTTTATTTTATTTTAATTTTTGAGACAGAGCCTCGCTCCATTGCCCAGGCTGGAGTGCAGTTGCTCAATCTCGGCTCACTGCAACCTCTGCCTCCTGGGTTCCAGCGAGTCTCCTGCCTCAGCCTCCCAAGTAGCTGGGATTACAGGTGCCTACCACCATGCCCAGCTAATTTTTGTATTTTTAGTAGAGAGGGGGTTTTACCATGTTGGCCAGGCTGGTCTTCAACACCTGACCTCAGGTGATCCACCCAGACAGTATTTTTTTAAAAAGTCTATTCTCATGGTATTTTACCCAAAATAAGGTGTTTTTCTAAATCTACTGTCTACATAGCTTAGACATTTTAATTTCAAAGTAGTTTCAAATAATTTTAGAGCACTTTCCTTATTAAGTACTTTCACAATTTAAAAATTACAAATTTTTAAAATTCAAACTTTTAGAGATCAAACATGGGAGTTTTCACATTCTTGCAAATATATAATATAAAAACTAATGCAGAGAAGAGTTGGCAAATGGGAGGAGGAGGAGAAAACGTTTAATATTTTAATTGAGAATTTACTTTTGCTGTTATATCCTTTTTTGTCAAGTCATGCAACAAAACCCACCATACATTTTTCCTCACCAAAATGTTTTTGGCTTTCTAGACCTAAATTAGTTTTAACTCTTTTGTGAGTAATAGGTGACCTCAAAAATCTAATTAAAGCTTTGAGCTCTGTCCTTGAAAAAATATAGAAGACACAAAATTCTACATACACCTTCAGGGGTTTGAACACTTCCTGATTCCAGTTTAAGAATCTCTGATACAATTAAGGAATTCTGCTCCATTGTTTTAGATGTGATGATGATGGTACTATAGTTATGCTTTAAAAACAGATATACAGAAATACTTACAGTTAAGTTGTTATAACGTTTGAGATTTGTTTCAAAATGGTGAGAATACAAGATTGGCCAAGAGTTAACAGTTGGTATATAACAGAAACGTAGGTGTTCACTGTATTATTCTATGTTCATAGGTTTAAAATTTTCCAGAATAAGAAGTATTAAGTATATAGAGACATATTTTTTACGTGTGTGTGTATATCTACATACACACATATCTCTCTCTATATGTATACATATACACACAGATACATCAGATATATATAGAAATACAGATAGACTAGATAGACAGACAGACAGATCTCTCTCCACAAAAGACTACTTAAGAAATTATACCATTAAAATATCTGGTTTTGACATAGCCAGATCACCAGAGTTCAGGCTTCTGCTCTCTGAAAACCCTTTCCAGTCACACTTAGTGACACCTGGGAGACACAGGGTTGAACCCTCTATGGCACAGTCTGGCTGTCCATGTGGTTACATCCTGTCTCCCAAGGAATACGCTTTCCTTAAAAGGATACAGCCTGTGTATCCCGCACTGAGCCTACCAGAGTGCTGAATAACTCGCTCATCAAACATCAGAACTGCACTATACAGTCTATCAAATAAGAAGTGTCAAGAAATCATATTAAAGATCCACAATACTCTTCTGAAAAAACTGGAACTTCATGTTCATCATATTTACCCTGCATCTTGACAATGTTTTGCTAATGTACCATGCTGAATAAACCATGAATCTAAATAAATTAGTTTCATATGTAAAATAATAATAAAAATTTTAACTGAACAGATGGCAACAGAGCTATCTCTAAAGATCTGAGCTCCAAACATCAGGTTGGACAATATTTCAGACTATCCAGAAGTATTTATGCGTTCAAGAGCACAAGATGGTAAAATGCCACAGATGTGTTTGGTCATGTAAATCAATCAAGTGCTTATCAAAATGTCAATATGCTAAATACAAACATAAATCCATTTCCATTTCAATTGCAGTTATAATACTGTTATGCATAGTACTTTATCTGAGTATGTTTCCACTTCAAATGATTTGATCAATGCCTATAGGTATTAAGAAATTCTCCTATAATTCTACTAAATTATACTGGCAGCATCCATAAAGAAAGGTAAGAACAGTCTGGAACATACTATAAGCCAGAAAAAAACTTACTTCCATCTTGTACTAAATGCTTTGTAGGATGTTCTCACTGGCAAGGCCAAAGGCTTCCCTTCTGCAAAAACCTGACAAGTAACATAAAGATCCGAGCATGTCTCTTGGTATAGTCCTGAAAACTTCAACATTGGGTCTTCTAGGACAGCTTTATAACTCTTTTGTTCTCTCTTCCCTTCCAAGCTTCCTCTGAAAGCACAAGGGCAACAATGTTTTAGACCTGAATTTTTAAGCATGTACATATATGCATAAGAACTAAGCATGTATACATATGCATAAGTATAAAAAGAGTTTACCTTTGTGTTAAGGTATGCTACTTAAACAACATTTTCCTGTATATGCAATTAATGTCATTTTTATATATGGTAAGGGTTTCTTAAAATCCTAATATACCTAATATCAGTCCTATCTTCATCAACACACTTCTCTATTTTATATTTCTGAATTTTAAATCCTGCCACCAACCCTTGATCTACCCTCCAGAAGTCACCAGCTTTCTAGACCTTGGTTTCATTTTCTTCATTTCAAGTTGACCACATATTCATCTGTTCTTTCAGGAAACATTTACTATCGTGGGCATAGAAGTCCAGAAGAAAGAAAAGATAAACAATACAGTATTACAATAAAATATTAAGTCATTGCTTCTGGGGAGAAAAATTTACTTTTAACTGCATGTTTTTATTCTACTCTTTCCATTTTTTTTTTTTTTTTTTTACTATGCATATGCACTGTCTGATCATTTCTTTAAAAAACAGTGGTGTAAGTCATAAAAGATACGCACAGGATACTATCAGGGGGAGGAACATTTTTTAGACATCAAGATTACATCAGATACTGTGCCAGAATTTTATATTTTCTTTCTTACATAATTTTCACCATATTCTCATTTTATAAATGAGGAAACAGAGACTTATAAACTAAACTCATTATCCAAAGTCACAAAGTAACAGAGCTGAGAATAAACACTAGGGCAGGGAGGCCAAAGCCAATATTCTTCCCATTACAGCAAGATAAATCAGAGTCTCAAGAGTACTTAGGCTGGCGTGGGGAAGGGACTTAGTACCCCAGATAGATGTCTGAAATGATCCTGAACAATGCATGAGAGTTGGAGCAAAAGATGCAGAACGTCATCTCAAAGGGAAAGGCAACAGAGCGAGACCCTGTCTCAAAAAAACAAACAAACAAAAAAGGACCCGCTTTTTGGTTTCTCTTTATTTTTAATGTTCAAACATTTCAAAAACATGCATTCGTATATTCAAGAAATACTGAACATCAAGCTGAAGGAAATCCCTTTATCAATACTGATCCTGTATAAACTACTAGTGGTGTATGCTATGGAAAATACCTTAAATGGCTGTATAAAGTATCATACAAAGGTACAAAGTGGTTGTTGACATATTACTTTTACCACCATCACCACAAACTAAAAAGTAAAGGATTTGTCAGCGAATAAGGGACTTCTGAAAATAAAATGAAACGATCATTCAAAGGTACATCTGACAACTGAGAAAATTTATTTATCACTTACTGCAGGCCTTTGACCAACACATATTTGTTGAATATTAACTGAACATACACAAGAAATGTTTATTAATTATGGATGACGCTGTGGTCAATAATTTGTGATAGCTTTGACAACACTTCTATATAACCACCTTAAAAGAGATATAATTTCCAACGGTGTTTTGTCCGTCCCTCGTCATTATACCAGTTCCATTATCCTCATCTCAAGATATCACGCTCCTGACCTTTACTTCAGCCGTGGTGCCCCAAAGTTTTCCTGCAACGACTCTTTCCTCCCATCTTCTTGGTACCCTTGCAACTGGCACCCTCATCTTTGACTTATTCCCAATTTCCCTGACTAAACACTGCCATACTACCCAAAGATTCACCCTAGGCCTCTATCACCTCCCGTGCTGCTAATATACCATGTGCTCATCTTATTCTCGACTATCGCATCTGATTGTGCCTACCTCTCCATAATTTCTGAAGCCTTCATTCCACCCTACAAGCCCCGTTCCAAAATAAAGATCGTCCTCTTACTTACGAAGAGCCTCGATTTCTTAATTTACAATAAAACAGTAATAAACTCTCAAAAGGCTGAACAGCAAAAACTTTAAAGACTGTAAAATACAGTGGAACTTAAGGGCTATTCCTACTGCTGTGCTTCTCACAGAGACCACGTATTAAATTTTTTTCCAACAGAGCCCCTCTCCACGATCCACTCTCTGGCGCCTCCCTGGCTACAGCCCTCCCAGACTCCCCCAGCCTGGGCCATGAGACGAGTCACATACTTTCTCCCCTCACTCTCAACAAGCCCCTACCCCCACGCCCCTACGCCCCAGCAATCCCACTCCCTGTCCCGAGGATTCTCTTACATCTTAAGCTGGACGTTGATATCCAGGTCACAACTGTAGATGTAGTGAAACTTCTCTGCTTCCCCCATCGCAACGTCGGCGAGGGTACGACCTATAGCGGAAAAAGTACAGGAAAGACAACAGAAAAGAACCAGCTGAGTCCCACAACAGAGGAACTTCCGGTTCCCGCCCTCGCCAGCACGCCTCCAATCCCAGCCTGGAGCGAGTTCCGACGCGGCGGAACACCCGGCCGAAACAACTCTTCTGCGCATGTGCACAAGGCGCCCACCATCTTGCTTAAGGGTAAATGTATACGGGGAACGGCTTATCCGATTACATTCCAGTTTTCCTGTCTTGACAGCACTTTTTTTTTTTAAAGAAAAAGAGACGCTATCATTTGAGCTTGAGCTGTACCTAAAACAATACAAAAGAAAATTCAATTCAAAAAGAATTACAACAGCTTTCACTGGCTGCCGTCTAAACAGGTTACAAGCACAAAAATTGGAATTTTGCCAAGTTTAAATTCCAGTGGCCTTCCCCAAAATTGTAGCACTAATTTGCTATTGCAAGCAAGGATTTTCTCTTTCTGCTCTAAACAATAGGGAAAGGACTAAATAGAGAACAAATAAATCTGAGTTTCATGTTTGGTGTTGTCAATATTGATGCTACTTTGGACGTAATACTTGCGTGCATATTTAAACTGGGAATATTCAAATTCAATGCAGTTTCAAGCCCTAACCCAAGTCAGAACCTAGAGGCTTCCTGTAATAACTCTAGAACACAGATCTCTAAACCCTGTGAGCTCCTATAATGTTTATTTTTATAATTATTATAATCTAAAATTGTAATATTCACTTCCAATTAGATTGAAAACTCTTGGAAGGTAAGACTAGTGTGCCATTTACTTCTGTGTCTTGCCCCCCTCACTGTCTAATACATTGCTGAGTTTAATACTTCCTACTTATTGGTTATTACTGATGATATTGAATGAAAGTCTCCATTTTCTATGCCTTTATTTCTTTTTTCTTTCTTTCTTTTTTTTTTTTTTTTTTTTTTGGGTTGGGTTTTGCTATTGTCGCCCAGGCTGGCTCGATTTCGGCAAACTGCAACCTCCACCTCCTGGGTTCAAGTGATTCTCCTGCATCAGCCTTCCGAGTAGCTGGGATTACAGGCACCCGCCAGCCAGTCCGGCTAATTTTTGTATTTTTAGTAGAAACAAGTTTTCACCTTGTTGGCCGGTCTAGTCTCAAACTCCTGATCTCCGATGATCTGCCTGCCTCGACCTCCCAAATTGCTGTCTATGTCTTTATTTCTAAGTGCTGTATTTTAAGACGGACATCACTAGAGTATGTGAAAATTAGCGTAATTAGAATGTTGAAGGATTAGAAAAAAAAATATTTCAAAGAAAGGGTGAAAGGTGTGGAGCTGTTTAACCTGGAAAGGGGAAAAAAATACCTAATGAACAATGTTTTACACAAAATAAGTTCTCAAAAATATTTATGGAAGCAAGAAAAGGATTTGAGTAGAATAAAGAAAAACATGATAGTCATCCTCCTGTAACTTAAAGTTTAAACAAAAAGAGAGCACCTTTGATTTGTTCCTAAGAATAACTGTCACCAATGGTTGGAACTTACAGGAAACGTAATTTCAACAAACAATACAAATTGAACTTTCTAATTATCAGAGCCATTCAACAGTAACACTGTTGTCACAAGTGCTCTGTTTAGGGCATAACTCCAGCAATGAGTGTGAGATTTGATGTGAAACCTCAATCTTGAATAAAATATTGACTATGTGTAAAGGACTAAATTATCTGATCCCAGTGGTTAATAAATTACTTTCACTATATAATGGTATTTAATGTATAAACCTAAGATAATATTATATACATATGCAACCAAACAAGTTTACAAATATAAAAACTGCAAATTAGCAATCTTAACATAATAGGTAGTGGGCTTTTTACAGAAACTTTATTGCTTGTAAAATGATTATGGAATATAGTGTCGACTACTCTTACAGGACTGATTCTTTGAAATTCAGCACATCTATACTGCTGTATTCCACATGATAATTCATTTTTCTAGCCCCTTTTTTCTATTCAAATAACTATGAACTCTTCTTTTGCATAACCACCATGATGTATTCTGGCTTTATCTGGGCTACAACACATCTTTTTAAGCCTGACTTTATCCTTTTCTCATTGTCTCATAACAAAGTAATACTGATTGTTTCCAAAACGGCTGCAAACACAACACAGATAAAAGCATGAAAATCAAATGTCAGTACTTATTTACAAGATACTCATTCACAGAACCCAAGACAGATTTAACTTTTTAAAGATTATCGAGAAAAAAATAACATTAAAAATGTATTATGGAGGGATCTCAGAAAACTTGACTGTAATTGTATTAAATATGTTAATACATCAGGGAAAACTAATGTGCCAATAAGGAACAAGATTTTGTTAAGTCATGGAAGCATGGAAAGAGTTATTACAGAAACCAAAACTGTCAATGCCTTTTGTACCATAAGTCAGAGAAGTGTTGGTTGGTAGATGTGAGTACCAGAATTCAATTAACAAGGCCATCCGTATAAGAGAAAAGGAAGCCTTAGGCAGCTTATTTTGAAAGGAGAGGAATGATTTTTTTCCTTCCCATGTGATTTTCACAAATCGTAAATATAACATACACTTATAATTATGGGATACAATTTGCATTGCAAGAGTCCACGGAGGCCTATCTGCAGAAAAATAACTTATAGAAATAGGTGTTTTCCTGGTGTGGTAGGCTATTCCAATGATTATTATGTGATCCCATATTTAATTTTCCTTTGGAGTTGCAGTTTTGGCTTTGTGCTTCTTTTGCCATCTTGTTTCCATTTCTATTTTAATTATTCTAGTAACCAGTTTTAATGATGGCTTAGAAATGTGTTGATTGCGCTCCATTTGTTAAATTTTGTCCTTCTTTCTCTCTTTTTCTTTCTCTTTCTTTTCTTTTCTTTTCTTTTCTTTTCTTTTCTTTTCTTTTCTTTCTCTTGAATCAAAGTTTTGCTCTGTAGCTCAGGCTGGAGTGCAGTGGTGCAATCACAGCTTACTGCAACCTCAACCTCCTGGGCTCAAGCAATCCTCCCACCTTAGCCTCCTGAACAGCTGGGATTACAGGTATGCACCACCGTGCCTGGCTACTTTTTAAATTTTTTTTGTAGAGATAGGGTCTAACTATGTTGCCCAGGCTGATCTCGAATTCCTGGGCCCAAGCATTCCTCCCTCCTCAACCTCCCAAAGTTTTAGTATTACAGACATGAGCCACCATGCCCAACTTCCATTTCTTCAGTTGCCCAGGACTGACATAATGATAATCAGGTTTATTTTTGCCAGTTTCTATGACCCAATTTATTCTCTTTACTTGGAATTTTTTTTAATGCACTTACAGCTTTACAAAGCAATCGTCTATTACTGAGCTCCCATCAAGAATAAATTAGTATGATACTGTGAGATTAAATATATCTCATAATTCCTTTTTTTCTAATTAAAAAAACGCCTTTGTAAGTTTTCTAATAACTGTGTTTTAGAACTCAATCATGTGATAGAACAGACAAGAGTGCTAAGGCACTTGAAAAATCCTAACTCATAATTCAAAAGTCTTGGCTATGTCTCAGCTGACAATGTGAAAAAAGACGGGCTTAATGAATATCCACGAATGATCCTAATGCAGGAACCCCCAAGTCCTAGGCGGGGGGTCCATTCAAAAAGGTAATTCATATAGCTGCAAAAGGGAAAGAGTAACAGCATAAGTTATTCTGAAAAATAATAAAATTGTATTTGCATATGTGTTCCTTTGTAATACCTCTGTTATATAACAACAAAGCTCCCCAGTCTTGGGCATTTCTTTATAGTAGTGTGGAAATGGACTAATAATCTGAGTTTCTTATTGTGTAAGCAATAATTATGTTTACAAATTAAGCCACTTTCATTTTTAAAAAATCTTTCTGTTACATACAGCTGAAAGCATATAATTCCTAATACAATGTTAAAAGGCTTTTCATGTTCTGGGTCTTGTGGCATTGTTCAAGCTCTCTAGACTTAGTTTAATCTGAATAATGTCCTCTCTCTTATACTATATTCAGATTATGTCTCTATATTCACCTATGGTGGTATAGTTGATTCTTATTCCTTGTGGTAGGTATATTCTGTAAAGTCACAGTAAACACTAAATTAGCAAATACTGAACTGCCGCTGGGGGATATAGGATTATGTTCCTGCCAGTCTCTGCTAATAACATTTTCATTAAATAATAAATACACAAACTTGTTTCCTTTGTCTTCATCTAAAGGCATTTTATTTAATATATATTGGTGATTTATTAACATTGAACTCATGCCCAACAGCACCATAACTCATGCGTGAATGAGGCCTGTATAACACAGTTTTTCTCCATAAGGCACATCACAGCTTCCTTGCACTTAGGAACACCAGAGAGCACTTCTATCACTGCATTTAGAGGATGTTTTAAATGAAATCACCCACGAAAAGCATAGAAATGCAATATATATGGCTGGGCACAGTGGCTCACACCTGTAATCACAACACTTTGGGAGGCCAAGGTGGGCGGATCATGAGGTCAGGAGACCGAGACGATCCTGGCTAACAACATGAAACCCCGTCTCTACTAAAAATACAAAAAATTAGCCGGACGTGGTGGAGGGTGCCTGTAGTCCCAGCTACTCAGGAAGTTAAGCCAGGAGAATGGCGTGAACCCTGGAGGCAGAGCTTGCAGTGAGCTGAGATTACACAACTGCACTCCAGCCTGGGTGGCAGAGTAAGACTCCGTCTCAGAAAAATTAAAAAAAAAAAAGAAAAAAGAAATGCAAATATATAGCATTGAATAAACCTCCCGAAATATACTTATTTATAGTATGAGAGCTGAAACAAGAAGGCAGAATCTCACCTTGTTTGACCTCAGCCGGGAACATGCACATCAGACTTAAATTTTTCGCTCTGCCTCTGTGCACATGTCCACAAATGGCCGCAAGTATTGATTTTGGGGTCACAAATAGATTTTAGTGAACAGTTGAATTCACAAATATGGAATCTGTGAATACTGAGAATCGACTATATTTATTCTTAGAGAGAAACGAAGAGCTCTCTAGACCAGTGTGCTTATGATTCACTAGGGAA